GATTATGCGCCTTATTTCGCATGGCTATATCGACCTTGCAAATTTATGACTGTGCGAAAACTTTTCGCATATAATTTGCATTATTTGTTGAATTCGCATTTTCTGGAAATTACATATCCAAGTCAATCGCATAATTTACTAGTATGCGAAAAATTTTTGCATATATCCGCCGGATAATTGACAATTGATATAGCCATACTGTCGTATAACGGTTTACACTATCAAGGGTTCCAGAATTACCGAGTCGACTTAGCCAAAGCCGACTCTCTCATCATATTCCGTATAATATCTCCAATTAGGGGTCCAAATACCCTCCGGTCGACTCCTATATGTCGACTAGTATAAGTCGATTTCCTGCGAGGCGACGGTCAAAAGCATATCAGAATCCATTAGCGATTGAGTATGACCAGTCGACTCGAGTCGATTGGATCAAGTCGACTGAAGAGGTCTGGAAGCCCATAAATCTCGACAGCTCTAATACACTTCAGCATATCGAAGGGAAGCTAAGGATAAGGAAGGATCTAGAAGCTGACTAGGAAATAGACGGAATGCGAACCGACCAGGGTAGTTTGGACATTTCCAGTAAGTCGGTCGGGGCATTTTGGGGACTTCAGGTAAATGTTCCATTTCTATATATAAAGGAGCTGAGGTAACTCCAAAACCCTAACTCCCATTCATTCCAAATTCTCCTCCATTGCTTCTGCTTCCTCAGAGCAGCTCTTTTCACCCTTTTCACATACTGACTTGAGCGTCGGAGGCTCTACGCCGGAAATCCCTCCGGCGTTGAGTTCTTGCAGGTGTTCTCGCGGTTCGATAGCAATTTGGAGACCATCAAGACAGATCTGAGCTCGTTCTCATCGGCTCATTCCAGATCCGGGCGGTTTTCCACCGGTTCACCCCAGATCCGAGGATAGACCCATCATTTGGCGCCGACTGTGGGGAGTTCTTGAAGGAATTAATAGCCTTACACCTAGTTTGGATCTGTTTCCGATGGCTGAGAAGGAAGGATTGCAGAAAAACTTGAACGAAGATTTCAGGGCAGCATGGACTGACAAGCGACCTCCGCCGATTCCCAACCCCAAACCACCGCTCCAAGTGTTCGGTTTCCCTCCGTTTGGGGCACACGCGCTGTCAGGAAGGCGTATGGAGGAAGAGACGCCTATTACCCCACCCGGAGTCAAGATCCCAGTTCTCACCCAAGGGGAGGCCAGTCACGTGAAGGACACGAGCAGAGAAGCGAATGGTCACGCATCGACCGA